TGCATCTGGACTGATGTGCTTATGGGAGAGGGTGAGGGCCCTTCTCTTCCTCCTAGCATCATAGCAACCGAGGAAACATGGCACAGTGAAAAGCATGCTAGATTCGGAGCCAGAGTCCCTGGGTTGAGATGCTAACTTTGCTGCCTATAAATTGTGTAACCTGACGGGAGTGACTGAACATCTCATGAGGGAGCTGGAGGTCCTGGGATGTGAGAGCTGGAAGGAACTTTCGTGATCATTTAGTCGGTCCCAATTCTGGTCTAATCTGTCCCTTTCCTCCCCCTCCTCCACTCCCCATGGGGAGGCTGAAACCCAAGAGCCAGGAAGGAATTTGCCCAGGCTTAAACAGCTAATAAGTGGAGGAGCCAGGGCTAGAATCCCAGAGGCTGGAGGAGAGAGAGGCCTTATGGGGCCAACAGGATACAGCACAGACAAATATATTACAGAGTTGAGCAAGCGGCTTTATGTGCCTTTGGATGGAAAGGGTGAGGTTTTGAATTGGCTTAATCTGGGAAGATTTCCTGGAGGAGGTAGACTTTGAGGTGTGATTTCAAGGTAAACTATGACATGGAGTGACAGGAGGAAAAGGGAGTGAAGGGAGAGTGAAGGCTCCATGGACAGGTGTGTGGGGGTATCTTGGACGTCCACTCCCTTCCAGTTTCAGTGACGTATGTTAGCCCAACCTCTGCCTCCTGGGAGGTGATACTGGTGATCCCGTAGTCTGATGGCGTTTACTGTCTCGAGCAGGGCTTGGGAAAGATGATGGTTTGATTTCCTGGCCCGGTCTCTGCTTCAGCCCTGCTCCATGGAAGCCTTGCCCTCCAGGAGGGGATGGGAAGCCTTAAGTGATAGCTCCTGAGGTGTACCACCAGCCTTGGAGTTAGGAAGACCTGGGTTCAAATCCTGGATCTAACATGTTAAATTACTGGGGAGTTGCTGATCTGCTTAGGTGGAGGGAGTTTCCACACTGGGAGTTCTTCAGACCCAAGAAGTCATGAGTTTAGACCAAAAAACAGACAACTCCCCCCCACACACACACACACTTTAGACTCATAATTTCATAAATTGTTGGAGCCGAAAGGGACCTTAGGGATCATTTAATTGGACCTCTTCATTTTACAAAGGAGAAAATTAGAATCTTAGGTCACAGAGGTAGTAAATTTAATTAGCAGAGCTGGAATTTGAACCCAGATCTCCTGACTCCTAATCGAGTGATTATTTATACTGGAAACATGCTTGAAGGCCTTCGTGTGTGTATTCACATCTTCCCCCGGGAATGCTTGCGTGGGTGCAAGCCTATGTGCGTGTCCACATGTGCAGATGTGGGCTCAGATCCTTCCCCATCCTGGGCCCCCGGGGCCTGCCTGTGGGAGGTGGAGACTGATCCTGCTTTGGGCCCCACGGGGCTGGCTCCTTGCCTGGGCATCCAGCTCTTGGCCCTTTGACGCAGGAGGGAAGGATTTTTCCTTTCATTAAATGTTAACAGAACCATCGACTTCCCTGCCTGGTCTCTGCTTCAGCCCAGTTCTGTGGGGGCCTGGCCCACTGGGAGGGGAGGGGAGGGAGGCCTCAGGGCTGGTATCCCAGGCAGCCTCCAGCCCAGCCTGGCAGGAGATGGTGACTATTAAAATCCCCCCCACTGACCGGGAGGCAAGAAGGGAGAATATTATCATTCCCATTTTACGTATGAGGAAAGTAGAGCCGGCAGAATTTGGAGGTGATTTGCCCACAGTCACACACAGGCTAGTAGGGGCCATAGCCTGCATCTCTAGACTCCAGGTTCTGGCTCTGTTCCTTCTATGATGTTGAACTGCTTGGCTCTTTGGGCCCCGTTTCCCTCTTCTGGTCTGGGGCCCACGGTTACCTTCTCGTATGGGAGAGAAGACCCTTTGGGCTGGTCTCTTCCCAGGTCCCAGTTTCCTCATCTATAAAATGAGGGGTTTGAATGTAATGATCTCTAAGGTTCCTGCCAATGCTAGACTTTAGTTTGAGTTAAGCACCAGTTTTGCTTTTTAAACCTTATCCACTGCTAACATCCCAGTTCAGGCGTGGCAGCGAGGCGTGCTCTGGACTTGGAAGGACCCGAGTTCAAATAGTAGCCTCATAACCCTGGGCAAGTCGCTTAATCTCTCTGTGCCTCAGTTTCCTTCTCTGTAAAAGGGGGATACCAATAGCACGTACTTCCCTGGGTTGTTGTGACGATCGAATGAGAAAACCTGAGCAAAGCACTTTGCCAACCTTAAAGCCCTATATAAATGCTAGCTATTAGTAATGGCTGGGGCAGCTAGGTGGAGCAGTGGATAGAGCTGGGGGCCTGGAGTCGGGAAGACTCCTCTTCCTGAATTCAAATTTGGCCTCAGACACTTGCTAGCTGTGTGACCCTGGGCAAGTCACTTCACCCTCTTTGCCTCAGTTTCCCCATCTGTAAAATGAGCTGGAGAAAGAAATGGCAAACTACTCCAGTATCTTTGCCAAGAAAACCCCAAATGGGGGTCATGAAGGGTCAGACTGAAATGACTGAATAACAGTAATTATTGATGGCTAATTGTGATCTGACACTTCCTTCGTCATTCTCACAAGCAGCTTCCATTTTCTTGTCTTTACCTGAGAGGGAGGGATCATAACTGTCATTTGGCAAACTGGGGAAAAGAGTCATTGGGAGAAATGACTTGCCCAATCCCCACTTTACAGAGGTAGGAAGGGTGAAGTAAGGTATTCAGAAACACGAGTGATTCAGTTCATTAAGCCTACTATGTGCCATGTATTTATTTTGCTAAGCTCTGGGAATACAAAGACAGAAGCTGAGCAGTCCCAGACCTCAGGGAGATCACACTGAGGGGAGATATAACAGGAGCACAGATAAATAAATACAAATAATTAAAAAGTAATTTCCCAAGGGAGAGAGTGCTTCTAGCCGCAGAGATGTAATGGCACTTTGGCTTGACTTAGAGTAGGAGCTGACCCCTGAGTTAGCTTTGGAAGGAAGCTGGGGATTTTTGGAGGTAGAGGCAAGAAGGGGGTATATGCCAGATGTGGGGTCCCGCCTCGGCAAAATGCCCAAAGCTGGGAGATGAATGTCCTTAATGGGAAACAATTCGCCAGTGAGTTAGACTGGCCCTGAGGGACCATGAAGGAGGAAAAGGAAATAAGACTGGAGGGATAGTTGGGAGGCCTGGTGGAGAGGGCTTTAAAGGCCAGGTTGACGCTTCTGAATTTTATCTTGGGAGGTGGTAAGGAGCCCCGGGATTATCTCAAGGAGGGGACTGATGTTGTCAGACCCGGGCTTTAGGACTATCAGTTTGGCAGCCGTGTAGGGGTTGCTTTAGAGGAATGCAAAGACTGGAATGGAAGCAGGAAGGCTGAATTTGGAGGCTATTAACAATGGTCTAGGTGTGAGGTGATCAGGGCCTGAGCTGGAGGTTTCATTTGCTGGTTATCTCAGAGAGATGGTGTGGGTAAAGAGCTTTGTCATCCTTAAAGGGTGATAGAAATGGCAATAATTAGTGTTATTTTTATGAAAGTGAAATCTCCTAAAGTGGGTATTCTTTCTGCAGTTGGAAAGAATCGTCTTGCCCTATAGACCTCTGAGGGCTTATTGTAAAGAGTTAAGTGAGATAATGGATGGGGATGAGCTGTGAAGAGAATACAAGTTTTCTAAATAATAATTGCTTCCATTTTTCTAGGACTTTGGGGTTTACTAAGGACTTCCCTCACAGCAATACTGTAAAAGAGATAATGAGAGTATGGTTATCCCCATTTTATAAGTATAGAAACTGAAGCCCAGGGAAGTGAAGAGGTTTGCTCAAGGTCACTCAAATATCAGAGCCAGATTCCAAACCTAGTTTTTCTGAAGTCCAGCAGTGACATTCCTGTATATTGCTCCACAGTAGAGGTGGATAACTTAGGCTATTAATTAACAAATATTGATTAAGCACCTACTATATGCAGGCACTTTGCTAAGCACTGGGGCTACAAAGAAAAAGTGAAAACAATCCCTGCCCTCAAGGAGCTTACAGTCTAATTCTGAGAGCATACAAAATAGGTTAGAGTAGATGGAGGGAATCCTTGGAGGGGAAGGTGCTGGTTTCCTCCCACCCACTCCCTAACCCTGTGATGAGTATCATGGGAAGGGATGGGGTGGAGACATGAGAGCAATGAGAGCTGACGGGGAGGATGCAGCATGGTAGAAGCTTTGGAACTGGGAATCAGGGAGACCTCAGGGCTAGACTCTCTGACCCTTAGTTTTCTAGTCAATAAAGTGGGAATGATAATATTTACTCTTCCTATTTCCCTGAAGCAAGTGCTTTGTAAGCCTTAAAACACTAGAGGAAAGGGGGCCTTTATTACTAAATGCCCAGCTCAGTACCTCACTGGAAGCAAGTGTGATCTTCCTCTGGGCTTCAGTTTCCTTCTCTGTAGATGGTAGACTGGACTCAATGGTCTCTAATGGTGGAAGGAGCACCAGGGTCAGAAAACCGGGCTTTGAGCCCTAGATGTTGCTTTAGACAAGTTACTTCTCTTACCTGGACCTCAGTTTCTTTATCTGTAAAATGAGGGTTTGGATTCGATGACCTCGCTAAGTTTCCTCCCAATTTTGAATCCACGATCCCGCAACTAGGTAATGCATAAGGTGCGTAAGCTCTTAGGTACTGTGATCTCAGCTTTGACACCGTAGAGTCATAGGGCAGCTGTATGGAAATGTGTGTAAGTCTGAAGGGGTTGGGGAGGGCTGGGGAGGGGACTGAGAGTGAGTTAGTTATAGGGTCCCACGATGATTCTTCTATTTTCTTTCATGGCGATATGATCTGATGAAAGAGCCCAGGATTTGGAGTTAGAGAACGTTGCTATTTACTTCTCGTGCGAGCCACCATGTTCCCCTTCTGGGCCTTGGTTTCTTTCCTTGTGAATGAGGGGGTGGGTTGGCCCGGATGGTCTCTGAGCTCCCTGCTGGCGCGTTGCATGATTCAGCCTCTTCTCTCTCCCTTTCTGTCTCCTACCAGTTGATAGTTGAGAAGACAACTGACTACCCATCGGCCGAGTATTCCCTGGTGGAGGATGTGGCCCTGCATTTCACCTGTTTGATGGACAGGCTGAACCAGCAGCGTCTCTTCCAGCCAGACCTGTGCGACGTGGACCTGGTGCTGGTACAGCAACACAGCGTCTTTCCGGCCCACAAGGGGGTCCTGGCTGCCTACAGCCAATTCTTCCACTCTCTCTTCACTCAGAACAAGCAGCTGCAAAGGGTCGAGCTGTCCTTGGAGGCCCTGGCCCCTCGAGGCCTGCAGCAGATCCTCAACTTTATCTATACCTCTAAACTCCTGGTCAACGCGGCCAACGTTCAGGACGTGCTGAACGCCGCCTCGGTGCTCCAGATGGCGGACATCGCGGCCTCCTGCCAGGACTTGCTGGACGCCTGCTCCCTCGGTCCACCGGGCCCTGTGGCCATGGCCCTGGGGCCTGGGAGCAGCAGCGGAGGTTGCCCTCCCGGCCCTGCCTCGTACTATTGCGAGATCAAGCAGGAGGCTGACGCTCCCAAGATCTATGCCCGAGAAGGGACGGATCCGTTTTCGGTGAGAGTGGAGGATGGCGTGGGGCTGGGGGGCAGCCCTGGCATGGGGCTGAGCCCAGTGTCGACAAAGCCGTTCTACAAGGAGGAGAAGGAGGAGGCTGGGGGGACCGAGGGGACCGCGCCCGGGGCTCTGTGTAAGCTGGAAGGGGCCGAGGACTCCGAGGAGGACCTGGAAGGCCAGGGATCCTACAGCGGGGAGCAGCAGCAGATCATCGTGGAGGTCAACCTGAACAACCAGACGCTCCATGTGTCCAAAGGGCCCGAGGGGAAGCCGCCGGCTGCGGACACTGGGGAGGCCACCGTGGTGCTGGGCCCGGAGGAGAGAGCCAGGGGGGAGGAGGAGGAAGAGGAGGAGGAGGAGGAGGAGGAGGAGGGGGAGGGGGGGGCTGGCGGTAGTGGAGGAGAGGAAGAGGAGGAGGAGGAGGAAGAGGAGGAGGAGGAGGAGGAAGAAGAGGAAGAGGAGGAGGGTGATGGTGGGGAGGAGGAGGACGAGGAGGAGGAGCGCAGTGAGGAAGAGGAGGCAGAGACGACAGAAGAGGAGGAGGAGGAGTCCGGCCGGGCCGGGAGGGAGAAGCCGAGGCCCGCTTGTCAAGGAGCCCGGGCGAGCCAGGCTGCCAGGGGCAGCGTGGCCACGAGGTCGAGGGAGAGTGCCAAGCAGGGGGTGTCGGGGGGGGAGGAGGAGGAGGGAGTCGAGGAGGGGGCCCGTCGAGGCCGGAAGCGAAGGAAGGAGGCCCAGCTGCCGGCCCCAGCCCCCGATGGCCTGGGCCCCAAGGTCAAGCTGGAGGAGAAACAGCACCACCCCTGCCAGAAGTGCCCTCGGGTCTTCAACAACCGCTGGTACCTGGAGAAGCACATGAACGTGACCCACAGCCGCATGCAGATCTGCGACAAGTGTGGCAAGCGCTTCCTGCTGGAGAGTGAGCTCCTGCTGCACCACCAGACGGACTGCGAGAGGAACATCCAGGTGGGAGGCCCTGAGACCACCCTTCACTCCCTCACCCTGCCCCTCTGTTCCTGGCCTTCCGTCATCTCCCTACCTTGACCCATTTTAGAGATGGGGAAATGGAGACCCATCAGCACTTGATAAAAGCTGGCGTTTAGGGGGTCTCACAGCCATCACCTCACTCGGGCCTCCCAACAACCCTGTGAGGTTGGGCTGTATAGGTGCTATTAGTCCCATTAGATAGATGGGGACACTGAGGCTCAGAGAGAGGCGAGATATCTCTAGTTGTACAGCTAGTAAGTGTTGAGGTGAGATTCAGACCCAGATCTTGCTTGTGTGTTCTTGCACTATCCTGCTGGCTGTCTTTAATAAATCCCCACTGTGGGCCTAGCCAGGTGCTCAGCCGTCCTGGGGCTGGAAGGATGGAAGGAGGGAAAGAACGGACCAAGGCCCTGCCCTCCAGGAGCTCAGAGTCTGGTGGGGAAAACAAGGCACCCAATAAATTGGAGAATTGGGATGATGTGTGACTGAGAAGTAGACTGTAGTGTGAGTTACCTTTCAAAGATCATGGAGGCAGTGAGGTAGATAGAACATTGGACCTGGAGTCTGGCCTCAGGCGCTTACTAGCTGTGTGTGACCCTGGGCAAGTCACTTCACCCTGTTTGCCTCAGTTTCCTCATCTGTAACATGAGGATAAATGATAACACCAACCTTCCCGGGGTTGTTGGGAGGATAGGAGGAGATGATATTTATAAAGGTCTTCACAAACCTTAAAGCACTGTATATAAATGTCATCTAGCTCTCATAAGAGTGACTGTGATTTGCTTGGTGTGCATCCTTCCCCACTGACCCAGATTGTGACCCCCGGTCATGGGGAGCTGCTGGCACCAGAAGTCGCCAGCAGGTGGCCGTCCTTCTGGTGACGGGCCCCATCGGTGCCCTGGGCTGGAGCCTCGGATGACAGGCACAGGGTCTGCCACCAGGCTCGTCCTTGAAGCCTTTCCAGCTGGTAGGCCTGGCTTGAGAGTGCCGGAGCAAGCTGTAGAGGAGGGGACGCAGGTGCCAGAAGATGAGGGGGCTGGGACTCAGTGTCTCATCAGAAGATCACAGGCCAGGGGCTTAGAGCCGGGAGAGATCCGGTGACTGGCCGTTCAGTTTGACACACGTAGTCAGAATTCTAACCTGCGCCCCCTCATGCCAAATCCAAGTTTTCTACTGCGTCACACTGCCCCCTGTTGTGTTCCCCTTTAAAAATCTCCCTTCTTTCAAACTTCTCCATTTTTGTGGAGGGTACCCATGACCCTCTCAGTCACCACTAGCTGGTGCGGTGGATAAAATGCTAGACCTGGACCCAGGAGGACCTGAGTTCAAATCCATCCTCAGAAACTTCCTAGCTTTGTGACCCTGGGCAAGTCCCTTAACCTCTGCTTGCCTCAGTTTCCTCGATTGCCGAATGGGAACAATGATAGCCCCTAGCCCACACCCCCCCCCCCAGGGTTGTTGTGAAGATCCTTTGAAATATTTGTAAAGCACTTACATAGTGCCTGCTACATAGTAGATGCTTAAGAAACGTTTGTTTCCTTCAAGGTTTGTAACCTTCATGCCAACCTTGGTCTTTCCTTGTGCTTCAGGCCCGATATCCAAACAGCTGTCAAGCCCCGTTGCTTCTGACTCTCCAGATCTTTCCCATTACACTCCTTCAGACCCCTACCCACTCCCTCTTTTTTTGGGGGGGGAGGGGGACTAGGCAATGGGGTTGAGTGACTTGCCCAGGGTCATAGAGCTAGTAAGTGTCAAGTGTCGGAGGCTGGATTTGAACTCAGGTCCTCCTGACTCCAAGGCCAGAGCTCTATCCACTGTGCCACCTAGCTGCTCTTCCCACTCCCTCTTAATGGGCCTCCCTGCCTCCAGTCTTCCCCCCCTCCAGCCCGTCTTCCACACAGCTGCCCAAATAATATTCCTGAGACTTGGGGCTGACCACGTCACCCTTTGTTTAAAAATACTCAGTGGTTTCCTACTGTGTCTCAGATGAAGTCTAAACTTCTCAGCGGCACAGTCAAGGCCCCTCACCGGCTGGTTGTAACCTACTTTTCTAACCTTGTTTCCTATTGTTCTTTTTCTCATTCCCAACCTTCCAGCCAGACTCGACCAGTGCCACCTTCCCCGTCTCTACATTCACATATGAGCTTAATTCCTTTCTGATTCCTTCAAGGCCCAGCTGTGGTGCTGCCTCCTCCAGGAAGCCCACCTGGAGTCTCTCCTCTTCCCATATTCTTAGAGTAGTTGACCTGATTTTTTCTTTGCCCCCTTTCAAATGAGACAATGTTTATAAAGCACTTAGTGCAGTGCCTGGCACATAGTAGGTGCTTCATAAATGCTTGTCCCTCCCCTCCACCCCCAGTCCCCACCTCATATTATGCTCCTCTGTGTACATGGTCTCTCACTCCAGTAGAACGTAAGCTCCTTGAGGGCAGAGGCTTTTACAAATTTTGTATCCCTTCTGTGTGGCACAATTGCACGTAACATGCTTATTGTTTTATTGATTAGAATTGAATTAAATTCTGAGTTCTCTCCCAGCTCCGACCCTCTATGTTCTATGCTCTAGCTTCCTATACACTGTGGAGGAGAAAGAGTCCTCCTCTGTGTCTTCAGGGAGATCCTGATCTGGTAGGAGAGACAAGATTCATGTATGTGAAAAACTTGAGACCAGAGTGAGCTGGGGTGGTCAGGACAGGCTTCCTGGGGGAGGTGGCCAAGTAGTAAGGGAGAGGAGAAGGTACGCCAGTCAACACCAGGCCATCCCTAAGCATTTATTAGGCACTAATTATGTGTTAGGCTCTGTGCTAAGTGTGGAGATACAAAGAAAGGCAAAAACATGGTCCCCTGCCCTCAAGGAGCTCACTTTCTAACAGGAAGACAGAATGTAAATAAATAGGTGCTTGTAAGATATGTACAGATTAGATAAAGGTGTTCTCTAGGCATTAGCAGCTGGGGAAATGGGGCAAGGCCTCCAAACACAGGGGGCTGAGTAAGCAAAGACACAAAGGTAGGAATGCTCTTCATGTCTTCCCCGGGGTGTCTGGGAGACCAGGCTGGCTGGGGAAGAGGAGAGGGAAAAGGAGGGGAGAAGCAGACCGTAGAGGTCCCAGGCTGAGGACAGCCAAGCAGGCCCTTGCTATTCAGAGGGGTGATCTCCCAGGCCCCTCCTGACCCTGACATGTGGGGACTCTTCAGAGCAGCCATGGGATTTTCAGGTCTGTGCTTCCATTGGACTGCACACAGTCCCAGGGAAGAGGCAGACCGTCTTCTCCCTCCTGTTATTAAGGGGGAAACTGAGGCACCCAGGGAAGCGTTGACTGGAGGTGTGCGGATAGAATGCAATGTGTAGTGGATGCTGTGCCTTGGCCTGGTGAGGCCGCTGACACAATGACAGAATTAGATTGGTTGGCCCTGTTGTTCCTCTGGAGGCATGGCTCAGACCAAGGCTGGGAAGGGCTGTGGAGTTTGATGGCTAGGAGCTAGCTGGCTGGCTCGGTCCACACCCACAGCCCTCCAGCTTGGCCATTCCAAGACATGGGCTTTTAAACCCACTCTGTGTTATGGACCCCTTGGGCAGTCTGTTAAAGCCTATAGACCCCTTCTCAGAATATTGCTTTTAAATGTATAAAATAAAATACGTAGGATTACAAAGGAAAACAGTTCTTTGGGAATAAAAATGTAATTTTCTTCATCCAAGCTCACAAACCTTTTCATCTAAATCTATCCTGAGATTGCTAGGGGAACCATGGATCTCAGGTTAAGAAAACACAAGACTAGGGAATGCACACACACACACACACACACACACACACACACACACACACACACGAGGTGCTCAGGAAAAACAGAATAAAGCCCAGATGGACCTCCTGGGTTGGGGAGGGTGATGATCTTTGGTGAGTTAAATTCCCATGGATGAAACAGACAGGTTTTACTTTGGGAAGTGGAAGGGTGTTCCTAGGAACCATGGGGGGTGTGAGTGTGTGTGTGTGTGTGTCTGTCTGTCTGTCTCTCTCTCTCTGTCTGGCGGGCTGGCTTCTTTCCCCGCTAACACTGCTAAGGGCCTTCCCCACTAACCTCACTGCTCCTCTGCCCACCCTCCCGGCCAGTCGGGGCCTCTCACTGAAGTTCTCCCTCCCCTCCCCCCTCCCCTCGGCCAGTGTGTCACGTGCGGCAAAGCCTTTAAGAAGCTTTGGTCCCTCCACGAGCACAACAAGATTGTCCACGGCTACGCAGAGAAGAAGTTTTCCTGCGAGATCTGTGAGAAGAAGTTCTATACCATGGCGCACGTCCGGAAGCACATGGTCGGTGAGTCCCAGGTGATGGGGGAGAATTCCGTGGGGTGGGGGGAGGATCTGGGAGGAGCCTATAGTCAAAGCTGGGGAAAGACCCCTGAAAGAGGCTGGGGTGGGAACCCCAGCTCTGCTCATTACTAACTGGGGGACCCCTAGACGAGGCTCATCCCCCTCTCTGGGCTTCCCCATTCCCCTCTATAAAATGAGGGGTTTGGACGGATGGTTTGGGCGGGTCCTTTGGGAAGGAAGACAGCATGATACAGTGGAGAGAGGGCAGAATTTGGAGGTGGAAGACCTGGGCTCAAATTCTGCCTTTGTTTAAGTCCCACTTTTGTGACTGTAGGCATCATTTACCATCTCTGGACCCTAGGTCTTAAATCTGTCCAAATCAAGTAGCCTCTGAGATCTTTTTGCCTTCCAATCTTTAATCCATGGAGTTGTACCTTGTCCTGTCCCCAGAGACATTCCTTTCCTGCCCCCCCCCTTCCTCAATGGGGCAGTGAGGATGTCTTGGGGACCATGCCCTTGTTATACTGTGACAAGAAATTTTTAGGATGTCAATAGCAGGTGGGTCTGTCTCCTGCCCCTCCCACTTTGTTAATAGTAACTAATAAAATGAATCATAATGTCTTCAAATTGGAAAGAATTAGAGGCAGTGTGGTGTGGTGGTTAGAGCCATTCTGGGTTCAGAACCCCACTCTGCTGCCTAACCATATGACTTTAGGCAAAAGTCACGTCCCTTCTCTGAGCCTCAATTTCCTTATTTGTAAAACTAGTTCCTTGGTCCAGGTTTACATCATGTGATCTCCTGTGGCCTTAAAAATCACATAGACCCCTGGTTCTGAAACTTTTTGTTCCCTTTGCACTCTTAAAAATTATTGAGGACTCCAAAGAGCTTTTGTTTATGTGGGCATTAGCTATCAATATTTACCATGTTAGGAATTAAAGCATTTTAGCATTGTTATGAAAATAGACCCTGAGGACCCTGCAAAAGGGTCTTGGGGACCCTCCGAGTCCAAAGACCACACTTTGAGAACCATTGCATGATACATAAACACATATTTCTTAGAGAATTTTGGAGCTCCTCCTGCTGATAGCCCAGAGAAGAGATGATGATATTGGGGGGGGGGGGGGGGGGGGGGGGGGGGGTGGTATAGCACACACATAAAGTGACTATCTCCAGACATCTTCTCATGGAAGAGGGAGTCCAAGTTTTTCTGGAAGCAGCACCAGAACCAGTGTAGGGGAAAGTTATATTATCATAGGGCAAATAGGCAGATTTGAGTTAGTTATAAGAATGCCGTGCCAGCCAGAGCTGTCTACCATGGAGCCTGGCTGTCTCTGGAGGCTGTAGGTTTGTGAGCTTGGATGAAGAAAATCCCTCCCTTATGTGGTCCTTCTTCCCTCTCCCCAGCTCTCCCAGGGAAGGAAATGTCAGGGACCCTTTGCATGACAGGACCACTGCCCATTCTGAGCCCTCCTTTGCAGGTACTAACAGTGGGAGAAATTCTTCTCTTAGCTTTTTGGTGAGCTTTGTAGGGGTCTCAAAGACCAGGAAGACAAGAAGGCTCTCAGGAGGGGTCTGCTGTACTGTCCGCCAAGATTCAAACCAGCCTTGTGTCTCCCTCCTCTCCTGTTTTAGGCTAGAAGTCATCTTAGGACTCATCTAGGTCTCCCCACTCTGTTTTGCAGATGGGAAAATTAAGACTCAGATCACCCAGGGTCACTCAGGTTGTCGAGCGACAAAGCTGGGATTCAATCCCAGGTCCCCTGACTCCAAGGCCAGGATTCCTTCTACCACACCAGGTGTTTCGGGTAGGGAGCTCCCCGTCACTGAAAGGATGAGGGATTCAGAGGGCATTTCTCCAATGAATAGGAGGTAGGTCTCAGGGTCCTCTTAGATTCCTGCCCTTTAAGATTTATCTAACAAAAGGAGATTCTAATAAATCCCTTCTAATTCTCAATCTATTATCCTGGGGTCCTATGATATATTACTTTTATATTTCCTCAGGACTTCCCCACCTTAACTCATTTGATTCCCACAAGAGCTGTTGGGGATCAAGGATGACCCTGGAGGATGTCACGGATGGTCTGCTGTCTTAACAGCAGAGGCAGAGAACATTTGGGTTGACAACAGACTATTAGAGCTAGCAGGAACCTTAGAGATCATTTGGTTCAGTCCCCTACATTTACAGATGGAGAAACTGAGGCCCAGAGAAGGAAAATAACTTGTCTAAGATCACACACTGAGTTAGAGGTTTAGGGACAGCTTGGAGAAAGGGAGGTTAAAGGTTCAATGATCAGGAGGTCAACGGGGCCAATCCCCTGCCATGGGACCTTGAAAATCTCACTAGGCAATCTGGTTCCAATGACTGTTCTTCCCAATCCCTCCCTTATGTGGTCCTTCTTCCCTCTCCCCAGCTCTCCCAGGGAAGGAAATGTCAGGGACCCTTTGCATGACAAGACCACTGCCCATTCTGAGCCCTCCTTTGCAGGTACTAACAGTGGGAGAAATTCTTCTCTTAGCTTTTTGGTGAGCTTTGTAGGGGTCTCAAAGACCAGGAAGACAAGAAGGCTCTCAGGAGGGGTCTGCTGTACTGTCCGCCAAGATTCAAACCAGCCTTGTGTCTCCCTCCTCTCTCCTTGGCCTGTGGCTCTGAGGAGGTTCCAGAGTTAGTAATGCTTTGGGGCAGTGAATTACACTTGGGATAATAACAGTAACAGGCTCTCTTTTTGTAGCACTCTAAGATTTATTAAGTTCTTTCCCCATGAGATGGGTTGTGCAAGGATTATTATGTCCATTGTATTGATGAGGAAACTGAGGCTCAGAGAAAGGAAACTGACTTGTCCATGAATGCAGATGATCTTGGCCTGCCCAACCCCTAGCCTTACCCCTAACCCCAAAACAGGTAGGAAAGTAGATATTCTAACAGCTGTCACCCCCCTGTACCCACCTGTCAGCTCACACCAAGGACATGCCCTTCACCTGCGAGACCTGTGGCAAGTCTTTCAAGAGGAGCATGTCACTCAAAGTCCATTCCCTGCAGCATTCTGGGGAGAAGCCTTTCAAATGTGAGGTAAGCGCCCTTCTAAGGCCAAGGGACCCTACCTACCACTTAAGGGATGATTTCTCCTCCTTGGCCAGAGTGTGGTCAGGGACTCATTCACCCCTTCTTTTTTTGTTTTGTTTTGTTTTTTTCCCTTGGACTTAATAGCATTTTATTTTATTTTATTTTTTCCAATTACATGTAAAGATAATTTTCAAGATTTATTTTTGTATGATTTTGAGTTCCAAATTTTTCTCCCTCCCTCCTTTCCCTCCTTCCTCTCCCCTCCCCAAGACAGCAAGCAATCTGATATCATAGGTTATACATGTACAATCATATGTCCACATTAGTCATGTTGTGAAAGAAGAATCTGAACAAAAGGGAAAAACCAAGAGAAAAAAAAAACAAAAAAAAAAGCGAAAATAGTATGCTTCCATCTGCATTCAGATTCCATAATTCTTTCTCTGGATGTGGATAGCGTTTTCCATCACGAATCTTTTGGAATTGCCTCAGATCATTGTATTCCTGAGAAGAGCTAATCTATCATAGTTGATCATCACACAGTGTTGCTCGTACTGTATGCAATGTTTTCCTGGTTTTACTCGTTTCACTTTGCATCAGTTTGTACAAATCTTTCCAAGTTTTTCTGAAACCTGCCTGTTCCTTATTTCTTATAGCACAATAGTATTCCATTACATTCATATACCACAAGTTGCTCAGCCACTCCCCAATTAATGGGCATCACCTCAATTTCCAGTTCTTTGCCATCACAAAAAGAGCTGCTATAAATATTTTTGTACATGTGGGTCTTTTCCTCCTTTTTTATGATCTCTTTGGGATATAGCCTTAGAAGTGCTATTGCTGGGTCAAAGAGTATGCACATTTATATAGCCCTTTGGGCATAATTCCAAATTGCTCTCCAGAATGGTTGGATCAGTTCACAACTCCACCAACAACGTGTTAGTGTTCCAGTTTTCCCACATCTTCTCCAACATTTATCGTTTTCCTTTTCTGTTATATTAACCAAACTGATAGGTGTGAAGTGGTACCTCAGAATTGTTTTAATTTGCATTTCTCTAATCAATAATGATTTAGAGCATTTTTATATGACTATAGGTAGCTTTAATTTCTTCATCTGAAAACTACCTGTTCATGTCCCTTGACCACTTATCAATTAGGGAATGAATTGTATTCTTATAAATTTGACTCAGTTCTCTATATATTTGAGAAATGAGGCCTTTATCAGAAATACTATCAGCCACCAGTTCTTATGCCTGCCCTGTTCCCAGCCCCAAGTCCCTCTTTTCTGTCTGACCATGTCACTGAGAAGCCATGAGAGCTCATTCCCCTTTGGAAAATCAAGGGACCCTCTTCTACCCTGGGGCGGAGGAAGAAGGGGTCCTGGAGTTACACCTGTGGGCCTGTGGCAGGTAAAAAGTGTTTATGTAAGGCCTTCCCCTCCTCACCTTATATGACCCATCGGTATCTTTAGCATTGTGTCGCCTCCACCATGAACCTTTTTGGGAAGTTTGGTAAGGTCCATCTACTCCTTCCCTCTTTGTTTTCTTAATAATCCTTAAATATTATTTCATTTTCTCATTCAGAGCACCTCAGGAACTGTGATGTTAGCATTCAAACGTGATGTTTCCACTGTCATCATTAGGGAAAGTAGTTTATTATTAAAATCTTAGATCTTTTTAATTTTTTTTGTTTGTTTGTCTTTTTTCCATCTTTGTCCTTAAACACTCTAGAAATAAGCTGGTTTAATTGGGTCTTGTGCCAGACTTTCTGTTGACATGTTTTTCTTTCTGTTGTTTCTGATTTTATGAAGCAATATTGCTTTTAAGCTTCCACTATCCTTATGTTCTGGACTGTTTTCAGACTCGAAATCCCAAAACTGGAAAGAGACCTTAGAGGTAATCTGGTCCAACATTGTCATTTATATAAGAGGAAATTGAGGTCCTTCAAGGGGATGGGATTTGCCTGAGGCCATACAGGACTTAAACCCAAGTCTCAGGATTCCCAAGTCTAGTATCCCTGCCACCTGCTGCGAGAAATGGTACAGTGGGCAAAGTGCTGGGCCTGGGTTCAGGAAGACCTGAGTTCAAATGCTACTTCAAATGCTGACCAGTTGTGTAATCTCAGGCACAGTGCCTTGGCACACAGTAGGCACTTAATAAATGCTTGTTTCCTTCCTTCTGTAAGACAGAGGAGAGATCAGTGTGGTCAGGAGTAATGAGAGAAGGCTTCCTGGAGGGAGGGGGTACAGCCGGAGACAGGCTTGGAGACGGGTAGCATTCACAGAAGCAGAGAAGAGGAGGGGCTCAGTGTTTCATGGGAGTCCACCAACCAGAAGAGGCCGGAGATACACACACATACATATGTATATGTATAGGTATAGGTATGGGTACAGGTATAGGTATAGGTATATGTATATGCACACATATACACACACACACACAGAGCCTGGTCACCCCATTTCCCTCCCTAGCCTCCTACTTCCTAGATTCTTCAGCCCAGAATACATTAATCTCTAGGAATATTGTATGTTAACTGTTCAGATCCAGATCAAGGTTCCATCCAGTCCCCAGAGAGGGGAAAACAAATAGCCGGTTTATAAACCGCATCTCCACTGAGCCTTTTCTTAAAGCTGTTTGGTGGTTTGCCTAAATAAGGAAGCCTGCCTGGATTTGTGGTCATTGGTCAGTGAAAGCGAGTTAGCAAAACCCATTGGTTCTCTGGTGTGGAAGGTGAAATTTGCAAAGTTTCAGACCCATTTTAAGGTCAGTAATAAAAGCAGAACCTGTAATCAAACCAACAAAGCCTTTGGAAAGATTTTGATGGACTAGAGCAGGTAGACTGAATCTAGAAGGTGAAATTTAAGAGGATTAAGTGTAGAACTTGGGGACTAAAACAAACAAACACAAGGAAGAGAGGATGGAGTTGTTATGGCTAAATAACCATTCTTTTATCTATCTATCTATCTATCTATCTATCTATCTTGGGGAGGCAGTTGGGGTTAAATGAATTGCCCAGGGTCATACAGCTATTAAGTATCTGAATCCAGATTTGAACTCAGGTCCTCTTGACTCTAGGGCCAGTTGCTCTAAATAATCATTCTTGTGAAAAAGAGCAGGGGGTTTGAGTAGACTACCAGCACAGGATGAATCAGTCCTGTAACATGGCAGCCAAATAAAGTTAACATAATCTTGGGGCATATGAATAGAGGCTGAGCCTCTAGAAGGAGGTATTACAAAGGAAAGAACACTGGCTTTGGAGTCAGGACCTGGATTCATATCTTGCATGACCTTGGACAAGTCACTTCCCCTCCCTGGGCCTCAGTTTCCTCATGTGTAAAATAAAGGGGTTGGACTAGAAGGCCTCAGAGGACCCTTCCCAGGTCTAAGACCATGATAGTTCCGCTGACCTTGACTGTGGTCAGAGCACCAGATGTTGACAAATTAGTATGAGTCTGGAGAGCAACTAGGATGGGGAGGACACGAGACCATGACTGAAGCAGGGCTGTCTTGGTGCCAGCCCAAACCAACTTGAGAGAGCCAATTGTTAAATTTTCAGTGGGAGTATTTACACCTTGGAAATGGGCAGACTACCAGTCAGGGCTTGATTTAATCTGTTGTTGATTGTTTAGACTTTATAAAGTAATGGGAAAAATGGTAATAATACAGATTAAACTTAAAAGTGTGTCATGTCTCCATTTTCTTCCTGGAGAGCTGGTTGTTAAACATTTACCAACACACTGACGGGTTCAAGAAACCCAAATGTAAACTCCTATTTATTTTTGTCATTGGATTTTCACTGCCTACCAGGGTGCCTGACAGAAAAATAGGTATTTAATAAATGTTTATTGAATTGAACCAAAGCAAAAGGATATTTAGCTTGGAGAAGAGAAACACTTGGTGAGGAATCAGGGAGGAGAGATAATAATAATTATAATAATAGGTGACATTTATATAACACTTACTATGTGCCAAGAACTTCACAATTATCTCATTTGATCCTCATAACAATCCTAGAAGTTAGGTGCTATTATTATCCCCATTTTACAGACAAAGAAACTGAGGCAAACAAGTTAAGTGGCTTGCTCAGGGTCACCCAGCTAATAAGTGCCTGAGGCTGGATTTGATTTCCTGTCTTCTTGACTTCAGGCCTGGTGCTGTATTTACTGTGCCATCTAGCTACTAATGTGATAGGTGTTTACAAATATCACAAGGCAGAAGAATTAGATTTGTCCTGATTGGCCTCAGTGGGCAGATCTAAGAGTAATGGGTAGAATTTTCAGGGGGGCAGATTTTGGCACAATATTAGGACAGACTTTTCAACAATCAGAATTGCCCCCAAAGTGGAATGAGCTGCCTGGAGGGGAAGGGTTCATTGTCCTTCATTAGGAATCTTCAAGCTGGATGACCACTGCACTGGTCCAAGATGATGGTAGGGTTACTGCTCAGGCATGGGCTTACCTTGATGTCATCAGAGTTCCCTTCTTTCTTGGAGATCAAATACAGATGCGTCATATTGTCTTTTAAAACCCTTCCATAATCTGGCTCCAGGCCCACTCTATTCCTCTTCACCATCTTGACTACTCCTACTTCTCATTGCCACCTTCCCCTTTTAATACTCCGTTTCCCAGCCAAACTGGCCTGTGGGCTATTCCCTGGGCTTGGTGCTCCATCTCTGGTCTCTGGCTGTCTGTCCTTCAGCTCTGCAATATACTGAGTCCCCTGTGTTTTTTAGTCTACTTAGCTCCCTTCAAGGCTTAGCTCAGGGGTCACCTCCTACAGAAAGCCTTCCCCAATACATATCACCTCTCCCCAGTTCGCTTTCTCAGACCTCCAGTTATCTTGCATTTACTTATCTGTTTATTCCTTGTATCCTCAGGAACATGTGTTTCTAGGAGGCCAGACTATTGGTTGCACTTTGTATCCTAGGGCCTTCCACATACTTAGCATTTAATTGAATTCAACAATTGAGTCTTAGAATTGCATTTCTAGACTCCCAGAGGGAGTGTGCTAGATTGCCCTTCCCTCCTCTTCTCCCTCTGCCCTGCCCTCCACCCCCCAGCCTCTCTCTTTAGTGACAGCCCAGCCCAGAACCTTCTGCCAATATGCCTGGACTTCTAAAGGCTTGGGGGTTGAAGATGGTGCGCCAGAGCCCTCACACCCATTTCTCTTGTCCTCCCGTTCCCGGACAGAACTGCAATGAGCGCTTCCAGTACAAGTACCAGCTTCGCTCCCACATGAGCATCCACATTGGTCACAAGCAGTTTATGTGCCAGTGGTGCGGCAAGGACTTCAACATGAAGCAGTACTTCGATGAGCACATGAAAACGCACACAGGTAAGAGCCCTCAAAGATCCTGCTCCCCTCCCTCCCTCCTCTCTCTCTCTCTCTCTCTCTCTCTCTCTCTCTCTCTCATCCTTGTCTGTCTCCCTCCCTCCTTCCTTTTCTCTCTCCCTCTCTCTTGTCTGTCTGTCTCTTCTTCTCCCTCTCCCTCTTCCCCCCCCTTCTTTCTCTCTCTGTCAGTCTCTCTCTCCCTCTCCCCCTTCCTCTGTCTCTCTCTCTTTCTCTCTTTCTCTCTGTCTCTCTCTCCCTCACTGTCTTCTCTCTCTCTCTCTCCCCTTCCCTCTCTCCCTTTCCCTCTCTCCCTCCTCTCTCTTTTTCTCTCCTCTCTTTCTCCTTTCTGTCTCTCTCTCCTTCTGTCTGTCTCTCCTTCTATCTGTCTGTCTATCTCTCTGTCTGTCTGTCTCTCTCCCTCTCCCCCTTCCTCTGTCTCTCTCTCTCCTTCTCTGTCTCTCTTTCCTTCTCTCTCTGTTTCTCTGCCTTCCCTCTCTCTCTCTTTCCCTTTCCCTTTCCCTATCCCTCTTTGTCTCTCCCTTTCCCCCTATCTCCCCATTTTTCTCTCCCTTGTCACCCCAAACAATGATCACTGAACTTGGAATCTGAAGACCTGAGTTTGAGTTTTGACTCTTCCAGTGACTTACTACTGTGTAACCCAAAGCAAGCTGTTTCCTCTTTCTGAGCCTCAGTTGTCTTATCTGTAACATGAAAGTTTTGGGCCCATTGATCTGTAGGGTCCCTTCAGCTCTGATATCTTGTGATTCTAGGGTCTCTGGAGGTGGGGATCCTTTCAGAGAGTGGGAGGAGAGAGGAGAACTATTCAGCACAGTATGGAAGAAAGCATGAATTTTGAATCTTGAGGACCTGGGTTTGAATCTGGGACACCCTTTCAGCCTTAGTCCTAGTGAGGCTCAGAACTCCTGAGCTTAAGCAAGCAATTCATCAGTAAGAGGGATTACAGGCATTCACTATCACTCTCAGCAATATTAAATATTTGCTGAAAGGGGAAATTAATGAGCTGAGTTCTTAATTTGAAAGAATAGGCTTTTTAACCCCCTTTGGTAACTTGAAATATTCTTCTGATTGCCACATTGGAATTAAGTCAGCTGGAATATTTTAATAGACTCATAAGTAAGTAGATGAAATGCGTGAAATTACATTCAGATCTAACCAAAGCTGAGCCAGGTATCCTTTGCCTTAGCGAAAGAGACTTATTCCTTCACGAGAACAGGTAATATAATACAATAAAAGACCGCTGGCTTTGGATCAAAAGGATTTGAATTTGTCACTTATTCTATATATAACCTTGGGTAAGACCTCTCTGGTCTCAGTTTCTTCATCTGTAAAATGGAAGGGTTGTAGTAGATAGCCTTTGAGATCCCTACCTACTCAGTAAGTCTACAATCAACAATAACTCCCTTTTCTGTATCTGTAAACAAAGAGCCTTTCTCAAAAAGGTCCCATTAGGTAGAGAATGTAAGGAAGGACCACCCCCACTTTACAGAGGAGGAATGACTTGCCCAAGGTCACACAGCTTTTCGGTGTCAGAGCCTGGCTTAGAACTCTGGCCTTCCAATTCCAAGTGTTTCTCTATTATAAGACAAAGTACCACAAAGGCTCCTTGAGACCAGCAGGGCAAGTGATCTACCCAAAGTCACTCAATGGGTTCATGGCAGAGACTTGAACTCAGGCCTGCCTAGTTTATGGCTTCTTCCATCTAAACCACCCTGCCGGTCCTTAACTCATGCTGTATGGCAGTCAGAATGAGGAGAAGGGTTCAGAGTTTTTACTGAGTCCTTGACTGTCTGTTGGGTGTGCACGAGGAATGGAGGGAGAGACCTGGCATATGGGAATTTGATGAGGGGACAGAGGGAAGGAAAGCACTCTGCTGGGAGAGAAAGACTGGGTTGGGCTTTGAGCATCTGGTAGTGAATGACCACGGCTGGAGACCAGGTAGTGCGTCAGCAGCCAGGGCCCTGGATGACCAGACTCCCGCCCTTCCCCCATCCACAGGTGAGAAGCCATATATCTGTGAGATCTGCGGCAAGAGCTTCACGAGCCGGCCCAACATGAAGAGGCACCGACGGACACACACGGGCGAGAAGCCCTACCCCTGTGATGTGTGCGGCCAGCGCTTCCGCTTCTCCAACATGCTTAAAGCCCACAAGGAGAAGTGCTTCCGCGTCAGTCACCCGATGACCTCGGACACTCCCGATGGCGGTGACCACCCCCCAGGCCTGACCCTGGCCCTAACTCCAGTGCCCCCGGGAGCCGCCCCTTCCACCCCTACCCAGCCTGGCCTTCCTCCCCCGCAGCCCCCGCCTCCACCGCCGCCCCCCTCACACTCCCTCCCTCTGCTCCCCCCGCTCCCCCAGACCCTGCCACCCCCACCTCACTTACCTCCCCCACCCCCTCTGTTCTCTACGGGGAAGGTCAATGCCAGCCACAACTAGGGCCCCCTTCTCACCCTGGCCCTGCTGCTCTACCCCAGAGCCCTCTCATTGCCTCTCGTCCATGCCAAGTTTGTCCCGGCTGCACCTCCGAAAGGACCCCATGGATTGACTCTGGAAAATGGAGCCCGTGTGTGCGTTCCTCTCTTTTCTCCCCTCTCTTCTTCCTCACTAGAGTGGAAGGAGCGATTGATGTGATTTCCAAGGACCTGGGTTCAGATTCTCACTCTGCCACTAACCCATGTGACTCTGGGCAGGCTGCTGGCCTTCTCTGAACCTCAGTTTCCTCATCTGTACTAGGAGGAAGTTGGACTAGATGTTAGATAAGATGCCTTCCAGTTCTGAAGTCCTGTGCTCCCCTCTGCCCCTCCCACCTCCTTCCTGTTCCATGACCACTTGGTTCCATTTTGCATATGGTCTCATCATGGTGGTATTGGGGGTGAATGGGGTGTAGGCTGAGGCCCTAAATGGGGGCCAGGAGGTGGTGCCACTTAGTTTTGGGGGGGTTCCCCATTGCTTTGGTGAGAGGGAAAGGAACAGGGCTTGAGAGGGTAGAATGGTATAGTGGAAAGAGATCTCAGTTAAGAGTCAAGGAACTAGATTCATATCTAGACTATGAGTCTTACTTGCCTTGGACAAGTCACTCCCTCTCTGGGTCTCAGTTTTGTCATGTGTAAAATGAGAGAATAGAGTTGTAAGGGGTTAGGCAGAGGCTGTCGGGAGAGGCGGCATGTGGTAGGGGGTTACTGAAGCCAGTTTTCTAGGCTCTGAGGATCCTGGGGGAGGCAGGTTAGAATTTAGGCAAGATCGGGATGGGTCATTTGCCACCCAAGATGAGCGGCCCAAGTGGAAGGCCATGGGCACTCCAAGAGACCCCATGTGTCCCTATGGGTGAGGGGGCCAATGCAGAGAGGTGAGGCTGGTGAGAGTGGAGATCACTGTCCTAGTGTGTGTGCACATGTGTGTCCCAGAGGCAGGGTATATGTGTCTGTGTCTCTGTGTGTCTGAGAATGTGTGCCTGAGAGGGTCCATGTCTCTGTGCCCACCCAAGGATGTATTTAGTGTCAGTCAGTGTGTGGGTCCGAGGAGAATGTGTATGGGTGAGGTACAGTCTGTGTGCAGGGTTGTGTGTGTGTGCGTGTGCGTGTGTACACATGCATGTCCATGCATCTGCATGTCTGCCTGTCTTTTGTACTACTATCTTTGAGTGTGTATCTAAGAGGGAAAATGTGTGAATGGGGGACCGCCTGTATGTGTTGTGATGTCTCTATATGTATTGGGGGGTAAAGACCTCAGGACAAGCACTAGATTCACTTTGATTGGGGGTGGGCTAAGCCTCATCAATTTTGCCAAAATGCCATTTCTCCCTTTTCTCCCCCACCCTGTCTCCTCCTGCCTGCTGGCCTTGGGCACACAGGTATGGTCAGGGAGGGAGCCCAGATTACAGGAGACCAAGCCTATGGGGATTTCAGGGCCAGATAGGGAAACTGAGTAACAGCTGTTTGGTCATTCTTTGGGAAAGGAAGTTGGGAATGGTGCCACGGAGGTGCACTTAGCCCTTCCCCTCACTCCCAGGGGATCAGCCTCAGAACAGCCCTTGGCAGAAGGCAGTAGATTCGTTATGTCTTCCGGCTGCCACCTTCTTCATACAACCTCTCTGAGTGGTTTTTATGCCCCCTCCCTCGGTGGCTGATAAGATGGGACTTGGGACCTGTGTTCCTTTTTTCACAGGGGAGAGTAGGCATGGGACAGTGGGGGCCAAGCTCCTTCAGTCACAGAGTTCTGTGCTAGCTCATGGGTTAGGGAGGGGGATGCCTTCGGCCAGGAGGGGTTAGAAAGATGGGGCGGCATCCCTCAGAACTTTCCGAGGCTTAGGGCATCAAAACCATTCCGTGCTTTTGCCTGATCAGGGAGTAGGGGGAAGGTCAGGTGAGGAAAGGTCCTTTCACAAACTGAGGAATCACAGCTTGCTGGGGAAGAATGGGTTCTCAAAGTGCCTTACAGTTTAGAAGGAGGAGGAGCAGGAGGAGGAGGATGGCACCCTGGGGCAGGGATGCCAAGTCCTCTGTCCTCTGGGGGATCCTGAGGTCAGTCAACCAAAGAAGCCCCTTGAGGGCTCACTGGTCATTCTCCCAATGCAGCTCCAGTCCCCAAATGTTGGATGCTGCCCCAGGGCCTGTGGCAGGAGGGTGAGGTTCTACTGTGGTTCAGCTGCTTCTTGTTTTGGCTGCATGGGCAGCGTCCCAGAAACCTGAGGCAAAGCTCTTCTTTCTCTTCCCTCTGTGTGCTCCCTCACCACCACCACCACCACCACCACCACCCTTGCATTGGGAGAAATTACTTGGACCAAGGTTTGGTCAGTGAAAAGTCAGAATTTCTTCAGAAGTAAGAGCAGGGAAATACTGGGCCCTTTATTTCTGGGTCTCTAGGTGCTACAAATACATTTTTGGGGGAAGGCATAGCCAAGAGGCTGGCATGCTGGGGGCCTGCCCTCCATGGATGGCTGAGGTGTTAACAGGGAACCCCACCCCACCTCCCCCACTCTGTAGGATTTCTCCGGTCCCCTCCAGCTGGCTCTCAGGACTGGTGCCCCAGAGCGAGCTTAGGTGCCTCACAGTCTTTCTGTTGGTGGGCTGCGGGGCAGGAGAGTGAAAGCTGCTTGGTCTTGGCTGGGGGGGTTGTCGTGGGTGCTGGCAGGGGTCATCGACTTCTCCTAGCCTGCTGCTCTCCCACTCCCTCCCCCACCTAAAAAGGAAATACAGGGTGTGTGTGTTGGAGGGACGTTAGGGTGAATGTATTCATTAGGGTATGTGTGTCAGCGTGTATGTTTGCATGTATGTATGGAAAAAACTTGCATATGACAAAGGAGTAACCTGAATCTGGTTCCCCACCCCCCTGTCCTGAGGCTAAGTGGGCATTTATGCCCATTCACCTCTCCTCTCTCTCCCTGTCCTCCTGGGCAGGCGGAGGCTTTGCATCCTGTGGGCTGCCTCAACTTCCCCATCCTTTCCCTCCCTTCCAGGCTGCTGCAGCCGGGCTCGGGCTGGCCCGGGGCCTTCTGTACAAATCGGGACTGCAGTGTGACCCCAGGCAGCCTGCCTCAGCCTGGTCAGAGGTGTGACCTTAGTGAGCACAGAGGAGGCAGGAGGCCCGTCAGTGGGTTGTTGCAGATAAAGTTGCTCCTAATCCCGTTCCTAAATTAAGGCAGTTCCATAAGCTAATTCTTCCTGATTAAGGTCCTTTATTTTTCATTTTGTAACTTTTTTTTGGTAATTTTTAAGATTCTTTGCACCTTAATCCCTTCCCTTTGCTCTCCTCCCCCACTGATACCAGGCCCTGGGAGACAGGACCTCCTGGTTCCCATGGTTATGTTAAAAATGGAGCAGGAAGATTGAGGACTCAGAAGAAAATGGACCCTCTTCTCCCCACCCTCCTGCTGGAGCCCCCTTGGAAATTGGGGCCAACCTTGTGGAGGGCAGGGCCTGAAAATGGGAACTGAAGTGGTACTGGGGGCTTGAGCGGCAATGTTGCCCAAATAGGCAATGCCCACCTGGGTAAACTTGCCCCACGCTGGGTCCTAATGACAGAGGTGGCCCCTGCACCTCCAGGGACACAAGGACCTATGTACTGTGTGACTTGAGTGGTCAGAGGGATTGATCTACATCAAGGAAAAACAAAAGCCAAAGTCAACCTCAGTAGGATGGACTGTGGCTGGCAGCCAGGGAGGTGGGAGGTGAGGGGAAGGGATAGGACTATGGAGGAGCTAGACACAGAGCACTTAGTAAGGCCAGATTTGAGCTGTTGCAGCTGGTGGCCATGGGCCCATTCGACTCCATGCCATGGGGAGGGCTGGTCATGGGACCCTTAAGTGTGATAAACAATATTATTAACAATAATTAATAAACAAAGCACTTTATTCTGTATAGATGTGGGGCAACCTAGGGGAGAGTTGGAATGTTTTAAGGAGACTCACCCTGGGAAATGTGGTAGCCAGTTTTCTGTTGATTAATGGGGGGAATGTCTTTTTTTTTTTTTAAGAAAAACTGTGTAATCAATATATGATAACTCCCTCTTCCCCAGCTGCATGCATTGTTTGGGGTGGGGTGTTGGGGAAGAAATGGGGAGTGGGGCAAGGAAAGATCTGCTTAGAAGCATTTTGACCTGGGTGGGATGGAAAAGGGAGCAGAAACCACAGCCATCTACTGCTGTGTGCTCAGAGGTGACATGGGACCCCATTGGCCACATCTGGGCTTTTCTCCACTTGGGCTCTCTCATTAGTAATTTCCCCCTGGGAAATGAGGTCCTTACTCTGAGAAGTAGGTGAAGGGATAGCTTTTGGCTCAGTGATAACTACCTTCCACTCCCTCCCCGCCCTATCCCCAGGAATGTGTCCCACGCTGGAGGCCCATGCACACACTGGGGACCCACTGGAAATGTGGAAGAGGAGTGTTCTTCTTCCAAATCATTTCCCTCCTGGGCTATCTTCCTAGATTTTGTGTCAGAAGATCAGATCTGCTGCCAAACTCTGCCGTTTGGTGAATCTCTTCTCCTGTCCCTTATCGCAAGTGAGGGTGATGGTCTAAGGTCCTTTCTAGCTGAAAATCCATGGTCCTTAATCATCCCTGGCCTAGCAACTGCATTTTCTTGGGAAATGACTTCAAAGCAGGAGCCTTTTCTGGGCCCTAACTGGCCCTTAGCGTGCTGGGTCCCATGGAGACTTTCCATCCTTCAGCCTCCTTGCTTTGGCCATTCACTCATGATCAAACCCTACTCATGTCTTTTACTGTATGATGCCCAGCCTTGGTATCCTAGTGGCTTCTACCCCAACTGCCTTGAAAGAGCTGCTTTTTATCCCTAGTAGGGGGGGCAGACTGGAAATAGGCTGGTCAGGAGTAGCAAGAATGGGGGGGGGGGGGGTTCATACTTCTGCTGCAGCTACTTTATACTGAAGCTGGTCCTCTGGGGAATTCCACCTAACCGCTTCCATCCAGGAGCTTCCCTGACTCAGAGAACTAGCTTGGTCTTCCCAACTTTAAAGCATTTCTTTTGGAGAGGGTAGGAGTTTGTCTTACCTCTTCCTGGTGCAGCTCCAGGGTGGGCCATCTCC